TGATTACGTCTTTAATTGATTTTTCTGTACATTTCTGCCATATGTACATTAACTGACAGTCACCACTGATAAGCTACCACTAAATATTGTAGAAACTTAATTTGCTGTAAAGTTGCTTTGCAATGATTTGTATCGTAAAAAGCGCTATACAAATAAACTTGACTTGACTTGACTTGACTTAAAACTGTCCCTATTTGATCGATTTCATGACCATTTTGCTGAATAAATAAATAAATGTGTGTATATAATAATAATAATTATTATATACTGTATATATATATATATATATATATATATATATAACCCCAAACTTTTGAATGGCAAATAATGAAATACTATAAAAATATTGATAAAATAAAATACAATGATGAGAAAATAATGACATATTGTTTAAATTACTTGAATACAGGTTAAATGTGTCAACTGATAAAGGCACTTTAATAATCTTTTATGTGTATATACTTTTATTATTTCACTACCAAATGTGACATTAATGTAGCCATTTTTAACAAATGATCAGAAATCAACTTTCTTAATTTGCTTAATGTGGTTGGTAATATTTGATGTGCTGCCTTTAATTTGTGCTGATTAATAAAACATATAGTGTATCACAGTCTTTTTTTTTATTACAGGAATGCAAATTGAACGAGAATCAGTATTGATAATGAAAATTTAAAAAAAAGAAAGAAAAGAAATGAAATATGCTTAATTGCCTTGAAAATGTCATGAGGCGCCATTATTTCAAGCAGAATATAATTGAAAACACAATTTGTTTCTGGGCTGAAATGTGATCTGAGTTCCTGACAGGTTTGGTGAGATTCACTCTCATAGTGTGGGGGTTTTAAAAGGCTCTGGGTTAAGCAGCTGATTTAAAAAACATTTTTTTTATAGAGTTTGAGAGGGTGAAGAGATCAGGTTGATGGGTTTTCAACACATCACAGACATTATCTGAAGCCCATAACAAGAGCAGAGGTGCAGCTCTTCACATGACACCTCTGACACAGCGGCTCAGAAATCATAACCATGACTTACTGTGACTTCACTTAAATGAGAGTTTCCTGCAGGATGAAAAGAGTCTCGGCCTGAACTTGGACGGACCATAAGGTCAACTGTCACTGTCTGACAGCTTTATTTTCTCTGTCCTGCTGCTCGTAAATCACCGGTTTTATCATCTGCACTTTTTCTGTGCCTTATTTCAAAACCTGCACATAAAATGACTTTATATCAATAATAGCCTGATGACCAGTCCGTGTTGTCACGATATGTATGTGCAGTAGTCATAATTTACTCTTTTTTTCCTCCCAGCGTCCCAAGAGCTGACAGCAGAGCACTGTGATGAATTAGGTTTATGAAACGTGTGCAATTAAAATAAGTGGAGAAGAGCAACACTGCACAACTTATGAATATGCTGTAACAACAGTCTTGCTCACAGCAAGCAGTTTTTATTAACACTGCAAAAAATATTTTTTGATCAGTATTTGCATCTTAAAAGGAGATTAATTTACTTGGGAAGCAAAACTGCATAAAATAATGAGACTAAACTATAAAAATATTAAGTGTTCAGAGATCATATCTAGAACTAAGCAAATTTTTCTTACCTCAATATAAAATATAAAGAAAGAAAGAAAGAAATAGAGAAAGGAATATAGAAAGAAAGAAACTATATAGTGAATAAATAAATATATCTAGTTTTAATGATTTCTAATTATTTTATAAATAAATGTGTCTAGTTTTAAAGTGCCCCTATTATGGATTTTTGAAAATTACCTTTAATGCAGTATGTAACAGCTCTAAGTGAATGAAAACATCCTGCAAAGTTTTAAATCTGAAAGTGCACCGTGTATAAAGTTATTGTCTCTTAAAGAAAGAGTCGACTCTGAATCATTGAAACGAGTCGTTTTTAAAACGAATCCCAAGCCGTTTCATCTTGACGTCAACATGAAACATTAGCATGTTGCCCGCCCACTTGCTGGTCTTTTCCTGTTGGTCTGAATGAAAATTTATTCTTTGCCACTAGGTGCCGCTTTTGGAGCGGTAAAAATAGTGGTTTCCCCGGTAACTGTACACAAAGCATCCCTGCGCTCACAAACGCTGCTTTATCAGGCATTACAGGCAAGATAAAATGAAAATGAGACCAATCGGACCATTAACAGCAGACTAGCGTCACGCAAAGGAGGAGTTTGGGAGTCGTTGAGCATATAAGGTAAAAATAAATGCATATTATAAGACAATGAAAGTGTTTTTTGACCTTGCATGCATGTCAACCTGTTGTTGGGGACTCCCAAAACCAAAATATGAACCTTTCTTAACCCATAATAGGGGCACTTTAATGATTCCTAAATATTTTTACTGGGAAGCAAGCCAAAAATGCAGATTTTTAATTTTATTTATTTATTTATTTTGTAGTTGAGTACCTACAATGTTTTACTCCGCACAGTTAAATCATTACCCAAACTGTAATGGACCAGTCTTTAGATTTCAGTTGAGTTGTTTTATGGTTTCTGATAGCAAAAAATCCCTCCTCCTTAAACCACACATCTCTCCTCTAAACTTTTGATCCTGAAATCCTGCTTGCAATCAGTATCCCGGCCCCTTCGTCTCTGTGAAGCAGCAATCGCAGCTCCACAAATATTTTGCCTAACACAGGGCCAAAAGCAGCAGGTTAAATGGGGTGTGAAAGTCTCTGGATTATTGAGAATTAACAGGGCAGAGTTAATAAATCACATCACGTCAGAGGCTAAAGGAGACACATGCCAACCTCCCCTGGCCCCACGGTCCAAACTCTGCAACCCACACTTACTTTCAATCACACGCACAACATTGATAATATTAAGAAATGTTTCTTGAGCAGCAAATCAGCAAATTAGTATGATTTCTGAAGGATCATGTGACACTGTAGACTGGAGTAATGATGCTGAAAATACAGCTTTGCAACACAGGAATAAATTGCATTTTAAAATATATTCAAATTAGCTATTTAATATTACCATAATACAGTATATGCTTTTTTTTAAATGATGTTTTTTGATCATAATGATTGGCGAGCACGAGAGACATTTTTTTAAAAAAACATTACAAAATCTTATTAACCAGAAACATTTGAGCATTAGTGTACATTAGAAAAGAGCATCAGCGTGTCAGATTAAATGGTAAAAAAAAAAATGGACCGGTAGGACGGGTCAGTAACATTTCAAGGCGGAGCTTAATGAAAGGTGAATCGCAGCATCATGGTGAATGGATCCCAGCCTTAAACTGATTTCTAGGGCATGCACTCAGGTGTAAGAGCACACTTCAAACAGCTCAGCAGGAGATCAGATCTCCACTTTAGACGATGCTGACAGAGACTTGGATGGACATTTGGGTAAAGATGATGTCACCACCCAGACATCCAAGCCAGGGCCGTGTCCTGTTTGCGTAATTCAACGTGCAATTACTTTATTTCCCATGCAAGTTTAGAGAGATGGGAGAAATCCAGGCTTGCTGTCTGGAAAAAGTTAGCCGGAATAATTGCAAGCTGTCTAAACAGCCGACATGCTGGACTTGGCCAGCGTTCAGATGATGTTGACCATCTTAAATATCAACCTGGCCTAATCCTCAGCAGTGATCGCTCTGATAAGCTATGCAGACAAATGAAGGTCTACCGAACCCACGCTAATAGATCATTTTCCAAGCTATATAAAAAACAACCCCCTTTTTGCAATTTTGCATCGCTTGCCAAAGTGTAAGAAAGCCGTAAAATGCAGATTTACAAAAGAAGTGACATCCGAAGGAGGGAATGTGCTTATTTGCAGTGCGTGAGCCCTGATGTTTGTTTGCCGACTTTACGGTGGTAAATCAAGAGTGAACGGTTCCTTTATTTGCCGCATTTTCTACAGAGCCATGAATCACAAGGCATTATCTTGCTATGTGCTTGGCTGTTTAAGACATCAGGGATGCGGGGAGAGAGAGAGAGCTGTGGGGGGTGAAATATAATATCCCAGCCGGAGGTGTGCTCTGCTTACCCATGCTCCTCTGCTCCGGCAGCAGGCAGTCTATTAAAGGCATTGAGGCAGTGAGGATGAGCACTGGGAGGGACCCTTTCCCCATCTCAAAGCCACACACCTCCAGCTGCGGTGCTAAATGATTCTCATTTACACCACCTGCCATGTTTGTTACAAGTGTATTTTGGTCCCGGGCAGGTAGCTTTGTTTCATTGCACCAGAGAGTGAGGATGATGCCGCATACCTGCCCCAACCACTTTGTCGATGGCGATACAGGATGCTTCAAGTTCCTTGGCGAATTCGTGCACGGCTTGACTCGGGTCTTCGTAAGTGTGTGGGTCCACGTAGGTCTTGATGCCAGGCAGTCGCACTGAAAATCAAACAAAATAAACTAGATTGAAGGAAACACCAGTGCTTATGAGGCATGAGTGAATTTTGTGGGTTTATTGCAAAACATGCATATATATACTCAAGTATGTAAGTGTTTTGAGGGCATGGGGAAACCGACTTGATTATGTCATTTGTGGTGCTTCATGGGAGTGGGCGGAGCTCAAGGCTAATTTGGTGCAATTTGCACACACTGTAACTCTCTGATTGGTGGATTTTTATAGCATCATGGGTGATGTGTTTAACAGTGGAATCCCTGGTGAAAAACTACAATTGATAAATGCAAACTGATGGCTTCATTAAAAGTGTATCGATTAACAACCTTTCTGCTCACAGTAGGTTTATCATTAGGTTATCATTAAAAATGAAGTTTATCATTAAAAATCAACTTCCCTATGGAGAATATGAAAGGCATTTTTATTTCTGGAACCCGACTCTTTCACGCTTGAATAGGTGCAAGAAAGAAACAACCAATCAATCAGAGTTTGGTATGTGAATAGATTCAGAAAAGGAGACCAATCAGAATTCATTGTTCTGAATGTTGAGCATTCTGCCAATGTAATGGGAGATTAAAAATTTCTTTAAAAGCTGAAAGGTCATAAAACCAAAAGAACAGTCAGCACGCTTAAATGTGCTTTCACATTTTACTGTTGCTCAGCAAAATTCACAGGTAAAAGAAAGCAGAACTGAATGTGACAAAATACAATGAATGATAATGACGTTCGTTCGCCAACCCAACCCAATGAATGAACCAATCCTGAATAACTGCTTTCCGAAGTTTATTTTTTATGTACCATTTTATAATATTGAACTACAGTGAGTAAAAAAAACAAAAAAACACCATGGCATGAGCGCCTCATCCATTTTGGATCTTCAGTTTTGCTTGGTTGTTAAGTTATGAATCTCTGCCCACACAGCAGTGAATCTGTGTCGGAGTTCACCAAATTTGAACCCAATGCGAAATGTGCATAAGGAATTGTCTTTGCCACCGGATGTCCATCAGGCGAAATTTGTGCCAATTCCCAGGAAAATGACTGGATTTTGCTTTTTTTTTTTAAATTTCACAGAACAATGCTAAACTGTAAACGCACCTTAAAATCAACATGAAATGAAAACTTTTCATCTGTATTGTGACATATTTGAGTATTACTGCCTCTTGAATTAGAAAATGTAGCGGCGGGATTTGATTTGTACATTCATTAAAGCAATTATATATGTTTTTTCCTCTATATTTCTACTTCTATATTTTATTGCATTATTTAATTTTTCAGATTTTTTCTTATATTAGTGTTATTTTCATCTCTACTGTGTAATTCCTATGCACTATGGACTATCACTATCATGTATGTCTGCACTATGTCTGTACTTTCTTCTGCCCTGCAAGCTCCAGTCGCAAAGACGAATTCCTTGTGTGTGTAAACATACTTGGCATAAAGCCCTTTCTGATCTCTGACGTCTGATTTTGTCAGAAATTGATTAGATTGTTGGATGCTAATTGCTGCAATCTCATGTGAGGGACAGCTTGCTGAAAGGCAGGGATTAAATCATCTGAAAAATATGTTTTTCATTAAAGACATTAAAGTGACATGAATTTTAATAACATATTTATTTTTAGTTACATATTTATTATAATATTTATTATAAAAACACTGCAATGAAAAATAATTAATGTCAATTCTGATTTCATGGGGACTTTAAGAAATTCTCTATAACATTTGAAATGTGTTCATATGTTTATTGATTTAATTGCAGAAGTCTAACATTTTGGGTTGGTAAGTTAGAAAAAACTCTAATTAGAATGTGTGAGGACTATCAATGCAGTGCTATCTTGCAAAAAAAACAAACATCTTGCACTGTACAAATACTGATGCTTGTGAGCAGCATTTGCTGTGCTTGGGAGATCCAGTGGAAAAAAATACCATATTCCATCGCAGAGGTTGTTGATTTGAATCTTAACGATAAGAAGCTAAGGGTGTCAAGAAATGCAATTTGCTAGGTTTGAAGATGGATAGGTCTATTATGGATGACCTAATCAGTTAGCTAAGCTATAGTCATACAGGGCACCTCATGCAGGTTAATCTAAGAGAAATTGTGTGGGCCTCCATTAAATTTCCTTCCTAATACCTCTGCCAGTGTGAAAAATGGCAGCATACGGACAATTGGCTTGCTGTAACTCGGGAGCAAAAGGGATATTATAAAAACCTCCACCGTTACTGGCTTCTTGTTGGGCTGTCTGACATTTAAAAATAAATACTAGAGCAAAACTCTGTTTTGATTTGTACTATTTGTAAGGAATGGGTATTAAACACTTGGAAAGAACCTGAATACTTGCAAGACTGAAGAATTATTGAGGTGTATATATATATATACTCACAGTGGCCGTTGCCAAAGGGCAGCCTCTTCTCATCTGGATGTTTGGACTTGCTATATCTACAAAACCTGTCAATTAAAGTGATGAAAAGCGTTAATTATTCTTAATGGCTTTAATTGGATCCTTTTTCTTCTCTAAACTATGTACAAAGCGACTAAAACCTGAACAGACCAAAGTCAGAGCCAGGAACAACTCGACTGTTTTGCTTTTCTATGAGGCATGACAGTGTTCTGGGGTCTTATAATAAGCCATAGATTCATGCAATCTTTCAGTGGTGCCATCTGCCAAAATCAGCCCCTCTGCATGACACGACACTCGACTCTCACGGTGCCCGTTACATTCGGCAGGAAAAATAACACGGCTTCTGCCAAGTGAATCGTCTACGACTATATATAGGCAGCAGACATGAAGGGGCACACATTTTCATACTTCATATCTGAAGGGTGGGAGATCAAGGGTCCTGGGGAGAGACTTGAGACAGCAAAGTGACAGCTTCAAGATGGGCACACTTAAACCTCTGTGTGACTGCGCTTTGACTGACAGACAGACCTGCTAATCACAATGTAGAGCACTACAGTGAGGAGGATGATGGCCACGGCGGAGGAGACAGCGATCAGCACTACCTGACTGTTCTCACTGGAGATGGAAAAGGCTGCGGAGAGAGACAGAGAGAGAGAAAGAGACATTTTAAATACACATTGGACAGACATGTAGCTGTTCAAGGTTAATTAATACAAATGTACCATTTCCATTAAACTTAAACCCAACCTCAGTTCATAACTCAATACTTCACACATATTCAAATAGAAACATTAAAAGTCACTCGATATCGCCTTGTGAAAAAGAAGTGTGCTTAATTGGACTGAATGTGCACTTGTAGTTTACAAATTTTAAAAGTGTATTTAAAATAAACATGTTTGCAGATAATATCAAATGAATGAAATAAAAGGTCACTTAAGTGTACGTAAAGGGAGTACACCTTCATAAATGTTTCTTAACACACTTAAATACACTTTTGAACAGTGCACTTTGTAAAAGGCTGCGGAGAGAGACAGAGAGAGAGAAAGAGACATTTTAAATACACATTGGACAGACATGTAGCTGTTCAAGGTTAATTCATACAAATGTACCATTTCCATTAAACTTAAACCCAACCTCAGTTCATAACTCAATACTTCACACATATTCAAATAGAAACATTAAAAGTCACTCGATATCGCCTTGTGAAAAAGAAGTGTGCTTAATTGGACTGAATGTGCACTTGTAGTTTACAAATTTTAAAAGTGTATTTAAAATAAACGTGTTTGCAGATAATATCAAATGAATGAAATAAAAGGTCACTTAAGTGTACGTAAAGGGAGTACACCTTCATAAATGTTTCTTAACACACTTAAATACACTTTTGAACAGTGCACTTTGTAAACATGTAAAATTTTAATGTTTTACTTTAAATTACATTTTAAATAAATACCATATACTATATACATACTTTAAAATACAGTAGTCAACATTTGAAGTGGATCAAAAAAGTGCATAAAAGTTGTCCTAAGACAAGAACGCATTTTGGTTTTAGGTTTTAGGACAACTTTGATGAAAGGTTTTGATTCACTTCAAATGTTGACTAGTGCAGTACACTTGTGATGTGTTAACTAACATACAAAAGCACATGTAAAGTGCTTATAACTTTAGCTGTAGTGCGCTATTGCATTTAAAGTTAATCTATTTTAAATGTATTAAATTGCAACTTCATTAAATGTGTAATTATACATGTATTTTAATACATGGCATGAAAGTTTCAACCGAAATTTATTTGTATTTAGTTTAACTTGTCAGTACATTCAGCAGTACACTTTTACTATTTTTAAGACAACAGAAGTAATTATGAAATTACATATAAAGACGTACAAAAAAGCACTCTAAAGTTCAGCTAATTTAGCATTTCATTTAAAGTGTTTTTCTTTTCCTGAAGATCCTTTTAGTCGTTTTATATTTCACCCACTAAAGCCCCGTTTCCACCGTAGGAACTTTCCCCAGGAACTAGGGACTCGGTGTGTTCCCTGCTCCCTGTAGTACTTTTTCAAAGGTCCGGAACTTTCGGGGGCAGGACTTGGGCGCTGAGCATGCTGATTGGTCGAGTTCACACAGCATTGTATTTTAACCACCATTTATTCGCATATTTGAAAAAATATATATTACTGTTATTGTGTCATGAAAAGTAGTTTTAAAAGTATTTCAGGCGAGAAAGTAGTTGTTTAAAACTCAAATCTGTGGTTTATTTATAAAGACAGTGCCTATTTGAAAATGTGTTTCGCTGATTTCGGAGACGTGAGCTCCAGGCGATCAGCGGGCGCTCAGTGCTCATGCTTCCCGACGAGAGCAGCCTCAACTCGGCTAGTCCTTCTGACATTTGGCCCTGGCTCTGATGTCTCTGTAGTGGTTAAACATAAGATATAATTCATTTTGGGTAAATCTAACAGGTAATCTTTGGTGTTTATTCTGTTAATCTATTAATTTGTTAAAATGAAAAGAGGCAATACTGTTTGATATATTTTGTTTCATTGTAATGTACGTTCCCTGAACTACATCTGCGGCTATTAATATGTTTAAATGAAAACGAAAGGAGGCAGTGGCGTTTGATATCATATTTGGTCTTATTGTAAATACAGTGAGGAAAATTGCAGTAGCCAAGGCGAGCTGACTGATGTTTTCAAGTACACTGCTGTTTGCACACTCCCGAGTCGAACTTGCGAAATCCGAACTACCGAGGATGCAAGTCCAAAATTTCCGTACTTGGTATTGAGAAACGCGTGCAGACCTACGTCACCAGACTATTTGCCTAATCTTCTCTGTACTTTAGTCCGCGATGGAAACACAGACAGCAACAGGTCTGGGGGGAAAATAGTTCCTGGGACAAATTGTTCAAGGTAATTTAGGTGGAAAAGCTTGAGTTTGACAGGGTCACAAAGACTGATTTTTATGGTGAATTTAAAATTAAATTATAAATAATTGTACGGATATTTTCTGTTACAACAATATGTCAACTCAAAAACAGCATTTGTAATTTTTGGATAATTTCCCACATGATAAGTATTTCCCATTTGTAGTTAAAACGGCAGAAAAATATAATTGTTGCTGCTTTTGAATACACGTGTGATGTGAAAAGTTAATTTTGTTACTCCATCAGCACCGTCTGTTTTTCTTCAGTAGATGGAGTTGACAGTAAGTTTGAAACAATCTTGTATTCTCAATCCATTCTTAATCAAAGCTGGATGCTAGATTTTTTAATATTTATCATAAATATGTGACATGATGACAGCACAGGGTTATTTTCTATCAGATGGTGTTGACACATATTGAGTGATGGCAAAGAAAAACAAATTTTGTCAGGAAATGGAAGCAGCAGGAGGCTGTGCGCCACTGTAAATTAATACCGCAGATTATACTGATGAGATTTTTTCCCAGTAGTGGGATGAAATAATCAAGCCATTAGATGAAATAATAAAACATCAATGTTGAGAAATAAACCTTTAACAATAATTTAGATGACCATTATTTCCCACAAACGAATATTTTACACAATTTATACACTATCCTACATCTATTCATAAAACATTTTCTTTCATTATGGAATATCTGGTGGCTGAGAAACATAATTTCATTTTCTGCATAAATTATGCGCCTTGGTCTACATTTCACACCAGCTATACATACAGAGGCGCCTATAGATTGCTAATCGTGCTCAGAAACCTGTGGAGAGCCGCTCACAGTATCTTTTCATTACATGAGTGTGCATTGATTTCCTATAAATGTTTCATTAGATAAAAAGGCCTTCAGCAATGCTGCGACACAATCTAGGGTTTACAAAATGCTCAGACTAAGTGCTTAACAGTGCTGCAGACAACAGCTGCCAGCATGGGACAAAAGATGCAGCACGTATCGTTTTAACCAAGTGGTTTATACTGTGTGAATGACTTCTATGACAGTGTATTGGATCAGAAAGCAAGGGAATTGCGAGCCTTTGTCTTTATTGTTCATTTGGGCTGCACAGCTGTGAATGGATTGAATCCGGTGTTGTGACTGCAAGGGAATGTGACTGTAAATAGAGAACAGAATGAAAGGAAGTTTGCAAATGCTTACAGTCTGGACTGGTCTCAAACTCAAACTTGCGACTGCTACCGCCGTATCCGGCCGCGGTGCGCGCTCTGATTTGTAGCAGGTAGTTTGTGTCGGGTTTTAGTCCATTCAGTGTAACATTTGTGCCCTTTGACCTCAGGATGGTGTAGCTGGTCTCTTGTTCCTGCTGTGGGATAGAAAGCAATAAGAGGAAAATAAGAGATATGTTTGTTTTAGCATAACATAAACATCTGAACATATTTTGCCTCCAATATCAATGCCAGATAAATGAATCAGATTGACGGTGAGTCCAATACATCTTTTATGATTTTCTGGTTATTATGATGCAAAATTTCATAGAAATATAGAAGAACAAGGATATAAGAAGTCAACATGAAGAGCTTTGCACAACATATTCTAATTAATAATCTCAAGTACGCTACTGTTCAAATGTTTTAATGTTTTTAAAATAAGACTCACAGACACTGTATTTATTTGTTCAAAAATGCAGTAAAACAGCAATAGGGTGAAATATTTTACAACATAAATTATTTTAATATTTTCCTATTTTTATTCAAATATTTAATATTTAAAAAATAATAATTTATTCCACATGATCCTTCAGAAATCATTCATATATGCTGGTTTGCTGCTCAAGAAACATTTCTTATTAGAATCAATATTGAAAATGGTTGAGCTGCTTATTATTTTTTGTGGAACTGCAATTTTTTTCAGGATTGTTTGATGAATGCAAATGTTAAGAGAACAGCATTGATTTGAAATATAATTATGTTTTGACATTACAGATGTCTGTATCACCGTTGATCAATTTAAATGATTTCTTTCTGAATAAAAGTATTAAACTATTAAAACTGACCACAAACTTTTGAATGCATTTCTGAGCAGAACAAGATATTCAACAAGAAAACATGCCAAAAATGTGGGAAAATTCCTCCCTGCTCCAGCAGATGCATGTTTACCACCTACATAAAAAACATCTTCCTGAGCATTGATTTGAAATATAATTATGTTTTGACATTACAGATGTCTGTATCACCGTTGATCAATTTAAATGATTTCTTTCTGAATAAAAGTATTAAACTATTAAAACTGACCACAAACTTTTGAATGCTAGTGCATTTCTGAGCAGAACAAGATATTCAACAAGAAAACGTGCCAAAAATGTGGGAAAATTCCTCCCTGCTCCAGCAGATGCATGTTTACCACCTACATAAAAAACATCTTCCTAGGACTGTTGCTAATATGGACTGAATTGCCTTAAAGGGACTTCAGAGCAACCTAAAGAGGATCTTAAAATCTTAAAGAGGAATAGTGAGCATTTGAAATAAATCATATCTCATTAGAGACGCACAGAGACATCCGTCTGTCTGACATGTGACCGTTGGAGCGGACAGGAGAGGGACGTCCCACCGGACGTGAAAATGCTCATCAGGCTGCTTGGGACAGTGCCAGCTCATCTTAATATACTGCCACCTTCTCTTCACATTTTTATGGCTTTCCTAAAGATTTCTGTGGTACGTTGATCCTCTCTACAAGCGAAAAAACCGAACTGATTTATGGGGCGTCTTTGCTTTCAAACCATTGTTTCCAGATGTTTCTCTGACTGGAAAAAGGCAAGAGTGGAATGAGAGCGAGAGCGGAGGTTTCTGCTGTTTATTGTAGGAGTCCAGAAACGGGGGAAAACATCCCACAAACAGAGGGATCACTCATTTGCCAGCATTATCCAGCACATTCATCCATGTAACTTATCAGTCTTCGGCCATGGCTAGTGTTATGGCAAACCTTCAAAAGTTGATTTGCATTTTGCTCCATCGTTGACCTCTAAGAATAGCTCACTTGTCCACACTGTAGATATTGAATTTCCCCACAATGAAGTAATTAATGGCAAATGAGATTTGAGAGCATCTTTTCGAGGGTCGGCAAACACGTAACAGATTAAAGCTCTATTGGGTTTCATGTCTAGACTACACATGCTAATAGGATTTTTGATGCGCGCTGGTATGGACCATAATTGTCAGACGCCACTAGATGAGAGAGGCAGTGTACAGTTACATATGCTGGATTTCTCTGAATAGCCTTTGCTTATCTACTAATCAGAAACAAATAAAACAGCAATGTTAGCTCAGCCACATTTAGAACAATGCTGCACTGATGCGACTGCAAGTACACAAGAGACGAGGCTTTCAAAATGCTAAAACACTGGTTTTGTTTTTTGGATTTCCAGAAAAAGCTTAAAAAATAGCCACACAGAACTCTGTAAAAACAGATTAAACTTCAAAAGTTAAAAGTTTGGAAAGAAATTTAGAAAAATAAATTAGAAAAAAATAACACTTTTACTCAACAAGGAGACATTAAATTGAAGAAAATGTGTCAGTAAAGTGTTTTACATTATTATAAAAGATTTCTACTTAAAATAAATACTGTTCTTTGGGACTTTCTATTCATTACAGAATATATTACGGTTTTCACAAAAATAATAAACAGCACAACTATGACAACTTAGAATTTTTTTTTTCTCACAAAACCAGCATATTAGAATGATTTTTGTGACACTGAAGACTGGAGTAATGAAGCTGAAATTCAGCTTTGGCATCATTTGAAAATATTTTTTTACAACAGTTTTGAAAAATTCATTTGAAAATATTATTTTACAACAGCTACTTGAAATTGTAGTGATATTTTACAATATTACAGTTTTTACTTCATTTCATTTCAAATGAATGCAGCCTTAGTGAGCATAAGACATTTCCTTAAAAAATATTTTAAAAATATTCTAAAAATCCCAAACTTTAGAAATGTAGTGTATATGTTCTGTGTGTTTCTTGTTTAAAGAAACTGTGATTAATGTTAGAATGTTGGTATATTAGGAATTATAGAATTCTAATATTATAGAATCTAAAAAATGTATAAATATACAATATAGAATTTATGTAGATAATTTTTATAAAGCAATAACTACGATACATAGTGAAGTTTTTTTTTAACAGTAGACCAAATCAGTTGGAAGTTTAACCAAATGTTGAATATATGACCTCACATGGATATAACATTTGCTAAATCCTGTGGAAAATGTGGAATATACAAGCAAAAATTAAAAACAACAAACATGCACATGCAATATGCGTCTTTACTGCTTAAATACACATTTCACCACATAAGAAATAATATTTGACATTGACCAGACTTATACAATCAAAACCAGACTGCTGGTTTAGACTGAACATGTTACTTAGAGCATTCAAAATAAATGAAAAGCCATGTTTTATCAGCATTGCATGGTTTTTATTCACATCTCCTTTCACAAAGAGCCAGTACGTGCTGCGATGACAGCAAAACATGGCTTTCCGTTAGATCATAGATGGTCTTTTGGGCCTTACATCTGTTAAGCTTTGGAAGTTTAGTAAAAATGTCCAGGCTGTATTACAGAAACTTCTGAATCAACTCTGAATCTGATCTATAAAGTAACCAAGGCCATTTCATTGAGTAAATGGAGCTTTAAAAAAAAAAATCTTAAATCAAGAATTAAGATCGAAAGTTTCTGTAGTACAGCCCTAGAATCTTAAATTGGAAGCAATATTTTGGTGTTTCGGCTCCTCTCACAGCACTTTTCGAATGAAAAACTAATCCAAAACAGCTTTTTCCGGGGTGCCCAAAGAGCCTGTAAGTATCACCAGCGAGCATCTGTTTGTAAAAAGTGATTTCATCTGTAGATCTGTATATCTAGCAGTTGTATAAATGCGGTAGGACGTCGACTGACAAAACCCATCACGGAAAGAAACGAACACATGACTCCAGTGGAAACCTAGTGACTAATGCAAACATCACATTTGATCTGGATCCGACGACAATCATTTCTACCCCTTTCTCGAACGCAGCACAGAAACCATTTCAAACCTCCAGACTTTGAATGCAAAGCCACAAATGGAGCGCATCAGGTTTTATGGTTTGAGGAGGCCTCGGATATATAAATTCGCTCTGCCACGGAAGACGAAACCAATACCTCACGTCGTATTGTATGCGTCTCTGTTCGAGTCATAAATCTTTTCACAGGTTGTCACCGTTCCCTGCTCACGACATCATGTGATCAGCTGGAAATCATATACAGGTGTGTCGAAATTTTCGCTGCAAACACTATATCCTTACCATATGTCCTAGGTCTGCATCAGCCACCTCCCAGCTCCGGGGTTTGACAAGGCGTGCAATTGTTACGTTTCGACAAGTGCGCTATTGGTGGAATTTAATATGCTTGTCATGTTCTACTTTGACAGTCTAAATATTGCAATCTGGGCTCTCCGCTGAAGAAGAAATTCTGTAAATACAAAATGGCTTTTCCAAAGCATTCCTTCCAACCAAGTTGCAGGAGAAATAAAAAATCTCCAATATGCTCCGAGATCAATACGATAAACTGACAAAATCATCACAAATGTGCACCGTTTCCAGAACATTAAAAAGCTCTATCTGTCAATTTTAGAGTGTTGCCAAAAAAGACGAGCACGATCGGGATGCTGTAACGTCAGGGAAACATGAACCAGAGCTCTCAAGTATTTAGAGATGCTTGAATTGTAAGGCCCTTTCCTCTTTCGTAGCATTGTTAATTTGATATATACACACCAAGAGCAGAGCATTCCCCCCTGGCGTATAATCAAAAAGAGATTTACTTTAAGTGAAGCAACATGGATCTCTTGGACCTCCGGATTGGATGACGCTCTCACAGGAGCCGCATCACTCAGGTTACTGAGCATCTCGATGCCTTTTTGGGAATCCATTAAGTGCAGTTTGTTTGATTTTGCACTATACAACATTATGCAGTGTAAATATCATGGTGTTTTTGAACTCGGCCTGTTGATGCCATATTTTCTTTGAAAAGTCACTTTGCGGATCTGGCTCTCTTTTATGAGGTTTATATGTTCAAGTCTGCGGCCTGTGTGTCAGTGAATCCGGTAAGAAGATTTGGGGCCCCCCTTCCTTCTCAGTGTGTGTGTGTTTTGTGAGGGTGAAGGTGGCTTGTTATCCTCTGCCAACCTAGATCAAGGGGCACCGAGGGTCTTACCGAGGGTGTCTCTGGCTTTTCCACATGGCAGCACCGCTTGTGTAGGATTTGGGCAACTCCAGCTATGCCTGATGAAGCAGTGCCTCACAAGGTTGTGTAATTAACAGGAATCAATGGAGAGACGGACTAGATTTCATTGTGAACGGGGAACACTGTGCCACCCAGGGTCAAATGAGACATGGAGGATTTCAGGAGCCCCCGAGTGTACCTGTGCCAGACGGTGAAAATAGCCCGCGATGAGCTGCCTTTTGCTTGCAAATAAGGGGATTACGGTCAAGCGAAAGCATTTCCACTGGCGGAGATTTAGGCCTCACTGATCTCACAGAAAGACGCAGCACAAAGGTCCTCTGTAGGAAGCGCAGGGTCCAACTAATCTCTTTTTTCGCCAGCAGATGGAAAAGCGATATCAGCATATTTGGACTGAATGTAAATGTTGAACACATTCTGAGTGTAACTCGGCTCAAGAGAGTTGAGCCGCTATCCTCAAAAGGTCAACTCATAAAGTTTGCCCGTTCAAGAACAATTCAAATGAAACATTTAGGCTTAACTTTTTACAGTGATTCTATGGTTATAGAATATGGTTCTACGGAGCTTATTAGCTCATTCTGCAGAAGCTTAGGTTGTATAACGGCTGTTTTTGTGTTCAGTGCTAATCTTCATATGGGAAATATGAGGCACAATCAACTGGTGGTATTGAACCATTTTTGGAAATAAATCTGTTAACTTCAAGAGCAATGTCAAAGTTATTTAACAGATAATACTTACTGTAAGATAACTCATTACAGCTGGGTGATATTTTAAATATTCGCAATATAGTAACGTTTAAAAGTTTGTGGTCAGTAAGATTTTTTAAAATACTTTTATTCAGTAAGGATGCATGAAATTGATCAAAAGTGACACTAAAGACTTTTACATTGTTACAAAAAAAGTCTTTCTTCTGAACTTTCTATTTACCAAATAAAATAAACCAAAAAAAGATCATAGCTTCTACAAAAAAAAAAAAAAAAAAAAGTTTTTTAACATTATTGATTATAAGACATCAGCATATTAGATCATTATAAATTTTCTGAAGGATCATATGACACTGAAGACAGGAGTAATGATGCTGAAAATTCAGCTTTGCATCGAAGGAATAAATTACATTTTTTAAATATATTCAAATAGAAAACAGATAACTTTAAAATTTTAAATTGTAATAATATTGCAGTATAATACTATTTTTACTGTGATATCTATCTATCTATCTATCTATCTATCTATCTATCTATCTATCTATCTATCTATCTATCTATCTATCTATCTATCTATCTATCTATCTATCTTTTTAAGCTGTATCTCTCAGCCCTAGTATTTGGAGAGTGAAAAGTACAGGATAAAATAAGCTGCTGGTCTAAAACATTGGCATGAGCTTTCAATTTTGAACTTAAGACCTTTTTGTCATGATGAAGATGAACCATGTCTCGGAGACAACTGAATCCTGTCTACAATTTCAATATGCGCGTCTCTGTGTGGTCATACAGTCAAGCCATTTACCCACTAAAGCTACGGAATGTTTTTGCTGCGGGAAGAATTCTGGACGGTTGCCACTGGAGACTGTTCTAGGGCTTTCTTTCACACCCTCAGATCCCCTGCCAGTTCGGGAGAAGAGACTCCCACAAAATCAGGGCCCAGTTAAGTTCCAAACCCAGAGTCGTGCTTGCTTCAGAGCGAGGGAGACGTTACCCACTTCACCTAGAGTAGAAGACATCACAGGATCTGACAGCATGAAAGAGCCCTCTGAAAACTGACCCTAAAAGAGCAGCGCCGATGTGGCATAACAATACTGACCCTCAATCAAGACCCGATTCCTATATGGCTCATTAATCATACGGCATCTGTAGGAAAGCAGCCGAGGGGCCGACCGGACTGGTTTGTGACTGGAGAGGAGAGATTGTGAGGGTTTTTAGATGGGTGAGCATGGGCTTGTAGCCCACAAACTTTAATGGGCAGGTGGTGTTTAGATCAGTGCCTCCAGTGTTACAAGACCAAAGCAGAGATCATCTGGCACTTTCACAGATTGTTAAGAAGGCTTAAAATGAACTGACCTGGTCGGTGAGTACTAAGCAATGTTTTCTCTAAACTGCCTGTGCACTGCCTACACAGACAGACAGAAATCTGTGCAGAAGGCAGACTCAGAAATGATAGAGAGCTCTCTAAACAAAACTAGATGATTGGACACAATATTGAAACCAAAGTCCATCTGCATGTCCATTGATTCTGAATATGGAACTGGATCTATCAGAAATCTCGTGCATTACATGATCTCAATAAAAGTTCTACATATATTATAATGTAGTTCAATTTGTCTGTTGTCTAAACAATCAAGTTTGAGGACTGCACTATTCAAGTTCACAGAAGAAAAAAAAATCTAGGGAGTGAATAAACATTATTGGTTTACGTTTTACAAGAAAATACTGTTTCAGCTTTTATACTTCAACATTTTTTATGTTTAATTCAATCTGTCACTTGCTGTTTCTTTGTAAGTGTGAAAGTTAATAGGAAATTCTTAGCAAAGGCGAGATCCCAATTCGTCAGTCACTGACGTAACGTCTCCGTTCCCTCCTTCAGGGAACGAGGGTTACACAAGTAACCTAGACGTTACTGTACCATTTTTTCCCCAGCATAATGTACTGGCATTTTTATTTTATTTTATTTAAAATATATATCTACTTGGCTACACTGACTGTTTGGTTGGGGAAAGGCAATTTAAAATCTGCCACTTATATATCAGAGCCGTAACTACCATAGAAATTGAGGGGGAAAAGTCCCCCCCCCCCCAATAATTAGAATTGGTCAATTTATAATAATCTGAGATGGCCTATCAAATCAAAGTAGGTGCTTTACTGTTTACAGAACCAGAGCACGAATCATCAATTTAATGTTGTAAGAGAGCGGGGTAAGGTGGAAGTTGCAAATCATTTAATATTAGTCAACTGTTTTACTATAGAAATGTTAAATGACTGACAGCTATCTAGTGATGCAAACTACTTGACTTTTTTGCTCAAATATGGCTATAGAGAGAGAGAGAGAGAGAGAGAGAGAGAGAGATTAAAGTATGTGTGAATTAAGTTACCCGAGTCTGTGCGTCTATCTCTACAAACAATGAAGCTGTGACTTTTACATCAAAATCAACGATTTTACCCCATCGTTGCTGAGTAGCGATTCAGGATTCAGTATCACTATTAAAAGGCGTTGACAACAATTTTGTGTGTGAATGTTTCTGTGCGCAATCTCCGATCTCTGTGCGTCAATAAAAGCAGCGCATTAATATAGAATGGTGATTAAATTTACTTGGAATCAAACGTTTTAAATGCACACCTGCTTTAAAAATACGGGTGTGCATTTTTTTTTAATAATAAAAAAAAAAAATGGGCACAGTGAACACTGGAGTGATTCTGTTCAGGTGGCTGAAGGGTCTGTCCAACAGAAATAGGTTTTGCTCAATGAAAGCAAAAATTAAGGGAACATTGGTACCGGGTTTAAAATTTCATTTCAGGCAAACATCTCTCAGCAGAGCAGACAGAATCTATTTCACCTCCAACAGTCAAATTAAGCCACATCGACTAATGACTTGAAATGCTCCCAGGTATATAGATGTGCACTCTGGACCAAGATTCCTAATGATGCCAAATAAAAGGACAAAGTGATGACTTCAAATGAAAATGTTAATGCAGTGAATGCCCACGGCAAATTAAAATTAAACTGCCCCCACCTTCTCATAATATTTGACCTCGTAGTCCAAAATGATCCCATTGGGTCTCTCTGGCTCCATCCATGACAGTGAGATGCTGTTTCTGGATGTTCGGTCCTTCCTGATGACAGTCACTGCAGATGGAGCTGCGCAGAGAGAGGGAGAGAGAAAAGGGAAAAAAGCAGATTAGCTGTTTCCACTCTCGCTGTGATGGTATTACAAGCACATAAAGCCTAAAGTCACAGGAAGTTCAGCTGACATTTTCATTCAACAATTTGCATCCTGTGAACTGGTTCCTGTTGACCTAATCGAGTTTGTTCTCCACTGGGGGCCGGTTTCAAAGTTGGGAAAGTTGGCACTGAAAGACAAATTGATGCAATCAGGCAACGGCTGGTTCCTGCAAACAGTGGCCACTTTCATGTCAAGTCAATACCTCTACGTTTAAAGCACAACTCATTAATTCAAGGGTTTTGTGGTGCCAAGGACCCCCAATTATGAAGTAATCCATTCCCGAGTAACCCACTTTCTAAATAATGAAAGCAGGTATAACACTGTTCAAAAAAATTGAGGTTGGTAAGATAGTTTACATGTTTTTGAAAGACGTCTCTTAGCAATCTGCATTTACTTGATCAAAATACAGTAACCAAAATACTGTGAAATATTATTACAATTTAAAATAAGTGTTGTCTATTTGAATATATCATAATTTAGTCCATAATTTAGTTGCAAAGCTGAATATCCCGATTTTCTGCTCAAGAAACATATTTATTCTTCTTATTATTAACTGTTAAAAATAAATAATTAAGTAATAATAAATAATACAAAATATTTTGTATCATTATACATGTCTTTACTCTCCTTTTTCATGTGTCCTTACTGAATAGAAGTATTAAATTCATATATTTATATACTTATTCTATTCTATTCAATTTCTCCTTGAGGTCCTAAGATTCCAGTGTGTAAATAAATAAACCTGAATTAGTTTAGTCTTTTCTTTCTCCCTTCCTTCCTTCCTTCTTTATTTATTTATTTACATCCCCACTGTGCCATTCATTCCTTACACCATTTTTGGCAGTCCTACAACTTAACTGTAAACTTTACAAATGGGTCTCAAAACTCTTCCATTGTGCTCTTTCTAGCTGTTTTTCATATAAACACCACCATTCGATCAAGGTTCGGTGAACCAGCATAATTATTCAGGGCATCCTTGAGATTAACAATCTAGTCATTTACATAACCCTCCAACTAGTGAACTATTTTGAAAAAAATATGTAGTTTTGCACATCTCTAAGTGTGCTACAGGCAGCTCAAAGTCTCCCTCTGCTCTGGCACTTCACATGGTCACAATCTGTGACTGTAATTCAAGTCAGAGCCGGTCCCGCTCTCCTCCTGCCTGGCGCTCATGTTCTTTTTCAACTTTACAGCTCTGTAATTGCGAGGCAGCAATGAGGCCATAGAGGCATCTGACTCGCCTGTGTTTTAATTTTATTAGACCACAGGAAAAACATGTTGTTCTTTCAAATGTTCAAGCTTTCCTTGATTGTGATTATACAGTCTTGAAATGCTTCTTTTCCCCTGGAACCCTTTCGTTTTTTCTTTTCGTCTATTTCTCTTTGTTAATGAATCCAGATGGGCTCAGTCTGTTTCAGTTTGCAGCCCCGCTGCACAAGCTCCTTCCCTACGGCACTCTGATAGGGGAGGAATTATTGAAGTTTTATAGTGGCCGCAGTTTATGGAAGCTATGATTTATAATGTCTGGACAGCAGGCTCATTTGACACTGTGTATCTTTCTCAGTGTTCACAGCGTGAACAGATCAACGTTGTCTTAAAATCAAATAGAAAGCACTGAAAGAATGTGACAGCAAAGAGCAAAGTGATTATGTTTCTGAAACCAAGTGAGCAGCCTTATTAGGGAGCATTTTATGGCATCATAGGTACACTATTGGGATTTTTAGTTTATAATAACAGTCCTGGTCCAAAAGCACCCCTACACCCTTATATTGTGCACTATTTGAGGGGACAAATTTGTAGTGATGTCTGCAACCATAGTGAATATTGTCAAGTGCATTCTCATTCCCATAAATCATCTCAATTAGGAGGGTACAACCAATGAATAAATTCCACAGTCTTGCCAGAAAATGGCGAACGCAGCACTTCTTGTGCCCTTGATGTCTGAATTTGCTCACTGGTTGTCACTCACTCATTCAGTGGACTGTATTAGTGGAGTAATGTAGGGGATAGTGAGTGAGGGTATATAGAGGAGCGATTTTGGATACAGCCTCAATGTTAAGGATCCAAAAGTTTGTTGCAATGATTACTCTACCGTCTAAGATACTGTACCTCCTTTTGATCAACTTCTAACACAGCACTGTAAATATCCTCCACAGAGAAGCAAATCACAGAATTAGCGACAATTTGCGACAAGCTGTGGTAAAAAAAACTAAAATGGCGGACAAAGTGGAAGATATGTTGATTATAATCTATGCAGTATGGCTAATTATTAATAAAACAGTTCCAAGAGTTTGACTGTTTTATTCAATACTTGCTATTTTTTATGAATTTTAGTTTTTAGTTGCTAGCTTAGCAACATGCTAATGCCAAACTCTACTGAAAACAATTGTGAGCCAAGTCCTCCATGCCTTTTCTAATTGTGTGGCAGCAGATCTTTCAACAGGATGTTCACTCGGTTTTGGAACTGTGTATATTTCTCGGCTTTCTCCTTGTGAACAGATCACCTCTGTCTTAAAGCCAAAAGAAATCATCAGTTCCCACAAACCTCCTAGAAGAAAGCAACAGCGAAAAGAACCGCACAATTATGTGGGATACTGCAAGAATATTCAGTTACGAAAAATGCAGAAAGGAGGGAACTCCTCAGTAGAGGAGTGAAATCAGAGCGCTGCGTTTACAGGTGTGGCTGACAATTATTATACTTGCAAGTATGCTGCAGTGCAGACGTAAGCATTTGTAAATAATCTTAGAGAAGTGCTGTCGAGATAATGGCATTCTGCAGAACATGGTCTCAAAATGTCCTCCACATGGCTCTGCGGATGTGAGACAGAGGCATGGCATTAAAGTGGGTGCTGACCCTCCTTTTCTTTCTCCCTGCCCTTTTCCCCCAAAAACTCCACACGCCAAACAGAAGAGGCAAACCGCAACAACGTATTTCAAGAATGCATGAATGAGTCATGGAAAACCTTCTGTCATGCCATGATCCAGCTGAACACTTCCACGCAGATCAGGGGCCAAAATTAACACTTGCCAAGTGCCAAACGCAAGTCAAAATTGGATTCGGCTGTTGACTGGTAACATTATAAGGAACTGCAACATTTCATGGTTTAAGTCCGATTGTAAGAATGATATCTGACCCTAACTGATGTAATGCGAGCGATTCTAAAGAGGAATTCTTCTTCTTCTTCTTCTTTTTTTGTGATACTACTTGATACTGCAACATACACTTCTGTTCATGTTAAAGACATTTTTTTACGTTTTAATCTCTTTTGCTCACCATGGCTGCTTTTATGTGATCAAACATACAATTAAAAACAGTAAATTTGTTAAATATTATAACACATTAAAATAGCTATTTTCTATTTGAATATATACTTTAAAATGTAATTTATTCCTGTGATGCAAAGCTGAATTTGCGATTCTAAAGAGGAATTCTTCTTCTTCTTCTTCTTTTTTTGTGATACTACTTGATACTGCAACATACACTTCTGTTCATGTTAAAGACATTTTTTTACGTTTTAATCTCTTTTGCTCACCATGGCTGCTTTTATGTGATCAAACATACAATTAAAAACAGTAAATTTGTTAAATATTATAACACATTAAAATAGCTATTTTCTATTTGAATATATACTTTAAAATGTAATTTATTCCTGTGATGCAAAGCTGAATTTTAAGCATCATTACTCCAGTCTTCAGTGTCACATGATCCTTCAGAAATCATTCTAATGATGATATGTTCAAAAAAAAAAAAAAACAGTTGCCTTATATTTTTGCGGCAACTGTGATACTTTTTTAGGATTCTGGTTTAAATAAACAGCATTTCAATTTAAAATAAATGGTATGATTCAAAAGTGAATCATACAAAAGTGACATCATATATACTTCAATTATACATACTTCAAAACTGACAGTTAAGACTTTTACTGTCACGTTTGAAGAATTTAATGTCATTTCTGTATATGTGTGTGTGTGTGTGTGTGTGTGTGTGTGTGTGTGTGTGTGTGTGTGTGTGTGTAAACTTACTGACCCCAAACTTTTGCACAGTAGTGAATTGGGAATATTCCTCACATTAATAATAATAATAAACATAAAAATCACATTTAATTTTGTGACTGTGAGATAGAGATTGGCCCCTACCTATAATATATGATCTTGCAATTTAGAGCTTAACAAGTCATTAGAAAATCATTAGACAAAATATAGTTCAAGTTTTCCTTGAAAAAGTACTGCAAATTATAGTTTCCCAGCTGTTAAGAAATATTTAAGACATGGTATTTTTTTTCAATTCACTCATCATTGCCAGTTGTGCCAAAAAGTTAATTTTGCACATCCCGGCAAAGCAGTATGAGACTTGGGATTACTGAAAGTTAGGCCACATGCTTTTCCGGCTTTGTTGGCTTTGCTGAAAATCTCTGCCCTGCCCCGGCACGACTGCCAGGTCGGGTGAATCGGCCCGTTAAAATGGCAGAACCATCAGTTCTCAACACAAACGTTTTACAGCTCTGATGAGGCTGAGAGCCAAGCAGAGAGCACCGTTCTTACATGGAGGGCAGCTTGCGTGTGCTGTCTCCCTTGGGCTGCGGAGCACAAGCTGGCTCTGTTTAGATGGATTGGGCTGCGCTGACAACCCTCGGAGCCCCTCGTAAATGTGCTCTCTGCAGGCCCGACTCACTAGATTGGCCGTTCACACATCCATCTCCTTGTTCTGGCTGTGTTTTATAGGACAGTAAAGGAAGCTGGATTATTTGTCTAAGAGCAAGAGTAGAGAAGAACAGAGAGAGGGGTTACGATCTTCCTGGTATTGGTTTCTGAAACAGCCTGAACTGAAAAATTCAATCGAAAAGACAGAAAATGAGGGTGTAGTGCTGTCTCTGTGCGAGGAAATGAATACCATTGCAGTCCAATAAACTGGAGCGCTTAAGCCAAAGTATGCTTCTTTGTACTGTGTGCTTTGAAAGCAAGTAAGAATTGTGAGTGGGAATGTGTATGTCTAAAGGGATTAATAAGGCCATAGAAATCAACAGAGAATAATTAAAAACAAATGGCCTCAATATTCTAAAATAAAAAAGTATCATGTATTTAAGGTTTGTTAAAATGTTCCTCTGAGACTTCAATGAAGGACTAGAGAAGAGAAGTGTTAAATCCATATTTACTGCCCATCAGTTTGAGGGGCCACAAATCTGTCCCCTCAAGGTATCCTTGTCTGATGAAAACACATTTAATAGAGTGAAGCTGTGACCTATCAACACTAAAAAAAACTTAAACCCACGACAAACTCTAGTGCTTGTAGCCAGGGTCATTCTAACAATGCGATACATTTTTATAACCCCATCTATATGTCTTTGTATATTGGAAAATTCGAAATCTGAGTGAATGTTGTCATTTTATTCAGGTGCTATAAAGTAAATTCTGAATAATAATAATAATAATAATAATAATAATAATAATAATAATAATAATAATAAAAATAATAATGAAAATATTTATTAGTGTTAATAAATTAATAATATTATTTCAGTAATTATTGGTTAATTTTTTTCAGTTCTCTTATTGAAATGTAAGAAAAAATGTAATGTTGCAAACAGTTGTGTTGCTTTATATATATATATATAAACATTTTTGTTGTTGAAAAAATATTATTTTTTAATTGAAAGTTCAACAGACAGAATTTATTCGAAATAGAAATAGTCTTTACTGTCTCTTTTGATAAATTTAAGTGCCATTGCTGAATAAAAGTATTCATTTTATTAATTTAGTCATTGCTCATTTTCTTTAATTATTAACATTTAATAGGATATAATGAATGTCTGGAATAGCATTTTATATTAAAAAAATACTTTAAATTATAACAAGCATACATTATTCATTTTCAAAAGTTAACAGGGATGACCCACAAATAATGAAAATATTGTTGAAAACATGAATGTTGAGTGACTCAGACAGGGAAGACAACATAGAGCCTGTAGCACTGTATCACTCTGAAAGAAGATGCCTTTCTTCACAGATAAATCAGCATCTGTTCTTCGACAGAAGATGAAAGATCTGCTGAGTGAAAATGCAGTCCTCTCACAATGACAGTAAGGATTTTATGAGGTCTCAGGCAAAGTCAACTGCTCCCTGTGGTAAAAGGGTGCAAAACTATCAATCCCTAGCCTTTGAACCTCTAGTAGTCCAAGTAGTCTTTGCCTACTATTTCATGACACCAGACCCAAAGCCTGTAATCTGTGGACCAAAGCCTACTCTAAATCATCCGACAGGACCTGTACCTATCACTCCACAGCTGGCACTGAACTGACAGAGGCCTGAGCCCCACAGGGCTAGAGAACAGAGACACGAGTCGTCACAAAGGAAGCCCACATGGAATGAGAGGCAGATGGCCTGCCGTTCAGCATCCCTCTGCTTTAGTAACCTGAGGAGTCGGGACCTCCAGTCAGCCATACTAGAGGCCAGCACCTGCAGAATTATATGTTCACAGACAGCTGTGATAGTGCGGGATGAGCAATAAGCTTGCAGAGGCATTAAACAGTTCTTTTCTTCCTTCCAATTGGAATGTTGAGCTTTGTTGCACATCGCTGAGAGGAAATCGAATTGTCTTCGTGAATATGTCTCAGCCCATCTCAGGGGACCATTAAAACATTTCGCTCAATCAATGGAAATCTTTGATGACAATTTTTTTCTGTTAAGACGTGGCTTTGAATGAAGTGTCATTTTTGGTAATTTTGTGTTAATGTCCCATTAGAAGACCCGGGAGAATTAAACGGATAGTTCACACATTGTTCTGAACCTCTGTGATGTTCTTTCTTCCATGGAACACAAAAGGTGAATATCTGAAGAAAATCCTGGCTGATCTATTCCATAATGAATGGGGAATGGGCCTGTCATGTCACAAAATTGCAAAAAGAGCACAATAAAATGATCAGAAATGTTAAGATGTGTGCTATATTCCAATGGTCCATGCTATATACAACCCAGGCTCATTGGAAAAATGTGCCAACATTTATGCAAAATGATATTAGGTTGCTTCTTGTTCGTTTTGCAACTCTTTCAAAGTGAAATGTCCAGTGAGTGATGCTAAAAGTGTGTTCAGTTTTATCCTAAAGAAATGAACCTGGCAACGTTTTATTTCATTCGTTGTACATATTATGGCTTGGAAATTAAATATCTGGTGAGTGGTACTAAAAAATGTATCACCAACCCTAAACCTAACTCATAGTGTTAACAAAAGCAAACATGAGACAAAAACACATTTTCTGAAGCATTTTAGCTTGCTTTTACAAGACTTTGAACTTTGTCATTGTGCCTCCAATCAAAAGCAATATGCTGTACAAGGTGTGCTACCAAGCAAGTTTACTACATCAGAAAAGCCATACATATGGAGCTGGTTATGTGACACAAACATGTAGTTATTTTTTAATTGATAATAAATACATCGATCTGCCCCTGCAATCATAATTAGGGCTGGGACGATAAATCGATGCAGAATCGATTCGTGGATCAATTCTGAGATTTTCAGAATGCAAATGGAATGCAATGGAATTGATTCTTCGAGTCATCGAGTCATGTAACCTTAATTTCACCTCAGCTCAGAATGATTTTATGACGCGAGATTAATATAAGCACAGCCCACTGTGAACACCCTTGTAATTCGCTTCAACCTTTTCGAATTTTATGAATGATTATTTTAGGTTCAAGTGTGTGTAAGGATTTGGAAACAAGCAAAGCCGGCTGTTTCTAAAGCATGGAGTGCCATCTCCTGTTCAAAACTGAGCTCAGAATCGACTCAAGAAAGAATTGCGATGCATTCAGAAAATCTCAGAATCGATGCTGAATCATTTCTCGATTCACGATGCATCGATTTATTTTCCCAGCCCTAACCATAATATGTGTGAAAAGGAACAAAAGTAGCTGATATTTACTGCCTCGTGGAAAAAAGCAGTGAATTGTATGTATAGGTAGGTTTTCGCATAAGTGTAGATAGAGGCGTTGCATTGAGGTTTTTGCACTGAGCTTAGGATGGCTATATATAACGACAAAAGTACTGACGCAACGACACATTGAAGCCATTTGACATAAACACCATTGGTTCTGATTTTTTATTTTTATTTATTTCATTCCTTTTCTCACATAAAGCTTTGTATGGCTTTGAAAACGAATCATATGGTGCTTGAATCATATGGACCTCTTTTATAATACATTTAGGGCTATTTTCATGAATTTGGAGCTTGACAGTTCCAGTCCAAGTTCATTTTAAGAAAAAAAGATTCAGGATATTCTTCAAAAATTCACCTTTTTTGTTTCATGGCTGAAAGAACATCATAGGTGTTTCAGATCTACATGAGTGCAAGCAAATGGTGACCTTTTTTCTCAGTTTTTTTTTTTTAAGGGGTGGGAAAAATTTCCTTTAACAATAGAATATTCTGAGATGGGAGACTCACCTGCTTGGTTGGTAGTGATGGTGACCGCAGCATAGTGGCGGACTGTGGGGGCCAGGGAGGACACTCCATTTTGGGCATCGATCTCAAAGGTGTAGTTGGTGTGTGCCAGGAGGTCCACCACGGTTACTGTGGTGTTAGTGAGGCCGGTGGCACGGGGCAAGAAGCGCACGGCCCCTCGACAGGGTTCACACTGCCTGGGACCCGGCCAACAACGCTTACAGACCACGTTAAATGTCACGTCCTTCCTGCCTCCGCTGTCAGCCGGCCAGGTCCAGTCTAGAATCACTGATGTCTCATTAATGGCAGAGATCACACTGCGTGGGGCAGATGGAGGTCCTGAAGAAGAAGATATGTGATATAATATTTATTCATCATTTTTAAATCAAGCTATAAAAATATTGTACAACATGATGAAAATCCATTTCAGCTGTACTGATGTGCATATTCAACACTGACAAGGCGAACCAATATTGACCCAGGAAACCCATCTTTTCTTCTACCGTTTCTTCTGCACTCTTTAAAATAAAAGTTATTTATTGGAATTGATGGTTCCATGAAGAAACTTTAACATTTACAAAACCACAAAAGGTTCTTTATAGTCGACCTCAGTTCTTTAGATTATTAAAATATTGTTCACATGATGAAAAAATAATTAAGAACTGTTCACTGAAAGGTTATTTGGGGAACCCAAAAATGGTTCTTCTGCCAAAACCCTTTTTTGTTTCTAAGAGTGTAGACAGCATTGAGATTAAATGGAGATGAAACAGAGACTTTTGGATGCTTCTCAAATCAAAATTCAGTGGTCTCGATATGAACTCAAACATTTCTCATCGAATTCACCAAGCTCAAATAATTTATTTAGTTATTCATTGATTCTGAGAGAAACTGTCTGGTTTGTCTTTTTTCAGTTTTTCCTAAGGGATGACAGGAGAAACATCTGGGACAAAGTTTATACTTAAATGAAACACAACTGAGAACTCCATTAAATCTCATGAGCTCTGAAAGAGCAATAAAATGTCCCTCTGGGGAAGTACGTTTACTTTAAAAAGTGTGGGTTTAATCGTTAAAGTCATCAGTTATGGATGGATACGGAATTTAGGCAGCCATGTCCTTCCCCTTGTTAAAATGTTGGCAGAGCCTCTAGAATTACTCCAGAGTTCAGAAGTGTCCTCACTGGATTGTTATATTAACTTTAAAAGATTGTCCCGGTAAAAAAAAACAGGGTATGAAGTGCGGCCAGGTTGCTCTATTGATTGGAATAGCAGGCCTGCACAGCACACTGTTATTTGAATAAGTGACAGACATCTGCATATATATGAACAAGAGTGAAAAAAGGTGATGGACACCGGTTCAAAGCCAGTAAATAATTTTGGAATATTTAGTGAATTTAATGTCTGACCTCTGGGTATAACTATGCTAAAACTAAATTCCTGGCTTAAAAACGGCGGTGAACGAAGAAATCAGTGCAGTCTTGGGTTGGGTTGGTTTGATTTGATGTGAATTCACACGCTGAAGGCCCAGAGTTTAGAGATGGTTTCTGAGAACCATTTTGACAGACATTTTGTCTGAGAAGGAAAGTGTGGGGGGGTTAGGATTTGATCCTACATTAAGAAATAGAACATTACACAAAGGAAACTCCTCCACAAATTCGCTCTGGAACATTCCAGAACACTCCCAGTTGCTTTCCCTTGATTCTGACATGACGATAAATCAGACGTTTAGCTTCAAGGTCAAATACAGGATTCACCACACTGGCCTTTTCAAAAGCACTTATAGAAAGAAGAGCAACAATCCTTGAGGAATAATTCACTCAAAATTTAATTTTATAATCATATTTACCAGCTCTTGCGGAGGGGTAGACTGAAAGACTTTCACTGAAAGTCTTAAACATCAGTCTGGTCCTCACATGACAATGGTATGATTCAGAAGACATAGAATACAGCACATAACCATATTTCTGTCATGACAACTCTCGGAGGGATTGGCATGGTAATGTACATGACAATGTTAATGTATTTGGTCTTGGCGGATTAGATCTGCTACGCTGCTGCTGCGGCAGAGCAAGTACCGAGACTAGCTACTGCCAAAACATCCACAACATGCTGCTGTGAGCATGTAAGAAATATTGCTGCTGCAAATATAACATACATGAAATAACCCCCATCATACATGAATACATCGTAGCAGATCTATACAGGTGGAGCTGGGGAAGGAGGAGGGTTTCTGAAGCAAGCTGCAACTGCTACAGCAAACACTAGTCATATATTTGAATGTTGAGCAGCGAGCTCATTGGCTACCGATACAGGAAAGAACCAATCAGCTGTGCCATGTGATAATGATGTCATTAGGTCAGACTGAGTTAGACCTATCGGACTGCGCCATCTAGAGTTTCATGCCAGAACTCTGTATATATTATATACCAGCGCTTCTCAAACTTTTATGCTGTGTTTATGACAAAACTGCTTGTTTTCAAACTTTTATTAACAGAAACTAGGAGTCTCGCTGTATTAAATTAATTAATCATGATTATTTTGTTGTTATTGTTCAATTTCGGTGATAGCAATTAAGCTGAAATAAAATGTAAATATTAGATGAAAACTTAAAACTAAACTTAAAAATAAAAGCTAATTCAAAATGTAATAACTAACTAACTAAATAAATAAAAACAAACGGCAGTGGACTTTCTTCTTAACATTTCATTTAGTGTTTCATGGAAGACAGAAAACAACATGAGTTTGGAATTATATGAAGGTGAGGATTTTCATATTTGGCTGAACAACCTTTCTTATTATTTTAACGTATAGTGGATTTTCTGTTTTATGACACCTTGATCTTTCCTTTATATAAAAAATGAGTATCATAAAAAAGGAGGTTGTCTGTGTCAGCACAGATAAAAAAACGCATTAATGTGCCTCAGTCTGCAGTGGCAACAGCATAAACCGAAGTCTTTTTTTATAGTATGGAGGAAAAAGTCGTTATATGTCGCTAGGTAACATCTTTGCCAGAGCGTCCTTTGATCCTGACATATAATAGAAATCACAGTGAGCAGGTAATGTTAACAAACTCACTGGCCTGTTAGCGGGAGGATGTGAGGTGTGCCAGGGTAAGCCATCCATTATTCGGACAGGCAGTCCACAAAAGTGTGACTAGCCTTTGTTATTACCACAGACCTGAACAATCACCACCACAACATGACGAACCCATGAAATTCTCTCTGTGACATATGGAAGATTTTTGCGTCTGGTATTGGTACAATCAAAGCTGTGCAGATTACTTACAAATTGTAGTCAATTACTGATTACAGATTACATGATGAAAATTGTAGTAAGTAACGAAATCTAGGTTACCCATTTTAAGTAATGTAATCAGACTACTTTTTAGATTACTTTTAGATTTTTTTTTAATTTTTAAATTAAACTTGTTTTAAACTTTATAGTAAATGTACTGGATGAAGATGAAGACATAGTGTTTCACAGCTATACATCACCTATAGATTATTAACTTGCATCATTTGTTTCATACTTGGTCTAATTGATTGAGAGATGCTTTTCCCCTCAAATTCAAAAGCAAATTATTTATAAGATTTTTAGAAAGGAAATTTTAAAAGTGAGAAAAGAAGAATGAGGGAGAATCTAAAATCTAAATCTGAAAAATTTACTGCCATTATGCGAATAATATGTAATCATGTAATCCATAAAAAGTAACTGTAATCTGATTATGAGCATGTTAAAATATATCATACTCCAATTACAAGTACTTAGTTGTTGAAATCTGATTGCGTAATCCAGATGTACAGTACATGTAATCAGTTACCAAGCACTGGGTACAATTATATACCATTTCTGCCGTTGACATTTTCCTCACGTCATAGAGTTACGCAGCAGAATATTGCCTTTATGAGGTCATAAAAAGGAGACAGGCAGAAATAAACAAGTCCATTTAAACATGCTTAAAACAGGCATAAATATGTATGCCTTTGAAACATTCAATAACTGTAATCTGATTATGAGCATGTTAAAATATATCATACTCCAATTACAAGTACTTAGTTGTTGAAATCTGATTGCGTAATCCAGATGTACAGTACATGTAATCAGTTACCAAACACTGGGTACAATTATATACCATTTCTGCCGTTGACATTTTCCTCACGTCATAGAGTTACGCAGCAGAATATTGCCTTTATGAGGTCATAAAAAGGAGACAGGCAGAAATAAACAAGTCCATTTAAACGTGCTTAAAACAGGCATAAATATGTATGCCTTTGAAACATTCAACGGTGATTAAATGCCGACCTTCGCTGACACAACATAGTACGCAACATAAACTGTAAATTTTACAAAGCAATAATTCACGGAGCAACTGCCTGTATAATGCAGCCATGACCTGAATTATATTCACATGCAAAAAACATCTTTGTATTACTCAGAATGACCTTCCACAATTATTGCAGATAATATCGTGCGTCGTCTTCCTTTAATTGCAGTTCCGCTCTCAGAGCTGCACTTAAAGCATATCGGCTCCACTGCCTGCATCTGAGCAGATTCTATCAAGATAAATGTACAAACTCGGGGGCTATGACAGTATGAAGTGGAGAAATTAAAGTCGTACACTCCGTACAAGCGTTTTTCCGCTCACTGTACCCATCAAAGTCTTAAACTAACATTGGCAATGAGTGCTTAAGTGGAAATGAATACTTTGTATTGCTTCCGACAGCCAAAATAAAAAGCGACTCGCATGAGCGTGGCGTGATCCGACATGCTGACTACTTCGGATGTCACGTAAGATACACCCTATTAAACTTGGCCGCAGAATTCAATAAGGCTCTTGGTGGTTTTATGTGATATGAATCAGCACTGATAGCAATGTGGTGATTTATGGATAATGTGTTTTGGAATGCTTGGCAGTCGCTGCATGCATCTGTCTACCATCTGCGTGCTTCTCCATAAAAGAGAATGGTTTAGCTTGCTCCGCTGCGCAAACCCAAGGAGGCCCGTCGGTTGAAACGGTTAAAAATAAGCAAACATGGGCTATTCTCGGTGGGACAGCTTGAAGGCCGCCGAAGGGGTATCGGAAGCTTTGTCAGAACGAGCCAACACAAATTCATCAATCCTTGAACAAACACCATCCTTCAAAAAGCTCCGGCGCTTCTGAGGGCTGCACGGCGAACAGGAACGCTGCGTTTCAAGTAACATAAATAATTATCCGTACAGCAACATAACTTCTAAATGCTTGTGGAGATTTTGCTGTCCTGCACTGTTGTGTTGAACATCTGCGTACGCCTTTGAGTTGCGGGTCACACTGACCCTAATTGGTTTCCATGCAGTTTGCCAAACAAACAACGAGTCTTAAACGTGAAGTTAAACTGATAGAATCTGGAGAAAATGCACTTATGTAGGTACAGTAAGCAGCACGTACGAGAGCAGGCCATCGAGACGGGGTCCTCTTCCGCACGGAAGTAGTTTTTCTCGCAGCCGCAGTGCACGGCTCCCTCCTGGTGTGTGTAGCTGTGCGGCTGAACAAACACCATCCTTCAAAAAGCTCCGGCGCTTCTGAGGGCTGCACGGCGAACAGGAACGCTGCGTTTCAAGTAACATAAATAATTATCCGTACAGCAACATAACTTCTAAATGCTTGTGGAGATTTTGCTGTCCCGCACTGTTGTGTTGAACATCTGCGTATGCCTTTGAGTTGCGGGTCACACTGACCCTAATTGGTTTCCATGCAGTTTGCCAAACAAACAACGAGTCTTAAACGTGAAGTTAAACTGATAGAATCTGGAGAAAATGCACATATGTAGGTACAGTAAGCAGCACGTACGAGAGCAGGCCATCGAGACGGGGTCCTCTTCCGCACGGAAGTAGTTTTTCTCGCAGCCGCAGTGCACGGCTCCCTCCTGGTGTGTGTAGCTGTGCGGCGGACACTTGGAGCACTTGACGTTCCCAGAAGAGGCCTTATAGAAGCCGGGCCGGCAGGCTGTGGAGACAACAACAGGAGGAAAGACAAATTAGGATGCTGGGAGTCTCTAGCCAACAGGGCCATTCATTACCCCATTACTATGCTGCCACTTTTAATGGAGCGAAACATTTCACATGCCCATATGCATCGGCAGACACAATGGAAAGACATTTAATCATCTGCACGGACTTAAACAAACTAATAGCTGTACCAACAGTGCTGAGATGTGCGTACGGCTGGCCACACGCACATGTGAGTGGATCTTATGAGCTCATAGGAAAGAAATATTGTTTCTAGACAGCAACAAGATCAAATGGAGACTTGCTTCTCAGAGTTTCTGAAAAGACTTCAACAATGTCTTCAACTGTCAAGTCAACTGTCAACATATCAAAGTCTGAAGTCTCAGTATGAACTCATCGAATTCCAAAAACTTAATAAACCACATTCACTCTAGACTTTTAATGTGATAAAAATGTTTAATGTTTTAAAGTGTCAGGGTGATATATTATTGTCCTGATATCATAATGAAGAAACAGCCATTAAAATAATTAAATACCTAGAAAAGAAAAACAGGAAATGCTATCATAGAAAGGAACTTTTAAAATAAAAAAATAAAAATAAAAAATGTTTTAGTAAAATCTCTTCTGATCACCAAGGCTGCATTTATTTATTTAAAATTTCAATAAGAACAGTAATATTGTGAAATACTATTACAATTTAAATTACAATTACAATATTATTACAATATCTATTTGAATTCATTTTAATAAAATGAAATGTATTCCTGTGATGCAAAGATGATTTTCAGCAATATATATATATAAAGAAAAGCATTCATTTGAAATATAAATATTTTGTAACAATTTTGATAATTTGTTTCAATCGCTTTTTTCACTTTTGATCAATTTGATGAATCATTCTAAATAGATAATGAGTAATTATTTCCTTTAAAAAATATTTTAGTCTCTTATAAAATATACCTTTGTAATGACAGCAAAATTAATTTAGTAAAAGTGTCTTCCTCATTGTTACACCACATTACATTTTTAGCATCATTGGATTAAAACTTCTCTTAAAAATAGCAGAAACATTTTTCAAAACCATATGAAAACAATACGACTACAAAGAGTAGCTCTTACCTGAGGAATTTTAAGAGAAACATCTGAAAAAAAGTTTGTTTGACTGAAACATAATTGAGTCTCTTGAGCTATGAGAGCGCAAACCTACACTATGAGCAATAATTTTTCCTCTGGGAAATGAACATTTGGGAAGCTAAAGTCAGAGCTATGTGATAAAGTGCGTTTAAAAATACTTTTAAAGTCTCCTTAAATGTCATATTCAGTGCCGGGTGCATGAATTATGCAAATACACCTCTTAAAATGGAACAAAAAAAAATAAATCTCTGCTATTAAAGTGTACTCATCAGCTCATCCTTCCCTATTCATGAGAATCCCATTCCATTACCCATAATGAAGAGGGAACATCATGATGAGCTGGCTAATTACTGTGGCTCACACGTATCTGTATTCCACTCCCCTCTTGTTGCAAGTTCAATACCTGATATAATACAGTTGGTGAACCAAAGCTTCAAGTCAGCACCATCCTCCTAGAATCAATTGAATTCTGCTTCACGGCAAGAAAACCGAAGGGGCTTCATTATTACAGAAGCAGCGAGGTCAGGTTCATCTTCCCTGGGAATACAGCAGAAGACCTTCTTTCGGTTTAATAAAGGTATTTTGGGGTGGGATGCAACCGCTTCCAACACATCAGTGATGTTTATTACCTATCTCACAGTCTACATGACATTCCCAAAGCTACAGCACACCTACATGCATGCCGTTTCTCCTGAGAGGTTTTCTTATGCGTAGTGTGAGTAGAAGACGGCATGGAGAGTAGCTGTGATGCATGAGAATGCAGGTTTACATTAACCCGTTTCTCCTCCGAGGCTCTCCATTAGGGACTGCACAAATTGAGGCTGATGAAAAAAATGCAGGTGCTCTTAACAGCATTTGTTACAGGAAATCTAATCTGACACACTGTTACCTCTGCGAATCAGAAAACACAGAGTCCCAAATGTGATAAACACACACCTATGTGGCCAAAATATGTCTGAAGACCCCAGAGGAACATTTTATAGCTCAGAGGTGGTTTCGGAGACACACTGAAGGTCTTTGTTATATATTCTCTTTTGTGTATGTTTATCCTGAAATTCCTTGGGGGGATTTCTCAGCGTTGTTAAAGGGATAGTTCATCCAAAAATTAAAAGGTTGTCATTATTTACTTATCCTCAAAGGTGTGTTCAAACCTGTACGAGTTTCTTTTTCCTGCTGAACACAAAATAAAATACTTTGAAGAATGTTTATAACTAAGCAGTTGCTGGCAGAAATTGACTTCCATAGTAATTTTTTCCCCCATACTATTGAAGTCAATGGCTATCGTCAACTGTTTGGTTTCAAACACTCTTCAAAAACAGAAGAAAGGTTTGGATGACACAAGGATGAGTAAATAATGATAGAGAAGCTAAGCGATGTGTAAGACTAAAATTTGTAGAAATATTTCAATTACCATTTTCAGTAAATAAAGCTGAAATAAATACAATAAAAAAAAGAATAAAGCTGAATTCAAATAAAACATTAATATTAATTGGCAAAAGAAAGAAAGAAAAAAATTAGAAATGTATTAATTAAAAATTCATACATTAAAAATAAAGAAAAACTCATCAAACTTAAATGAAAATTAAAAATGTTGCCTTGGAAACTAACTGAAATAAACAAATGTTACTTTAAAATATATAAAAATAAAATAAAAATGAAAATGACAAAAGCACATAACAACTGCTAAACCTCTCAAATTTAAAAGAAAACTGAAAATATACAAAGAAAGGCTAATTCAAAATATGAATCAATACTTTAACAGTACATAAATAATAATACAACAACACTGGTGAGATTTAAAATCGTTGTTGACATATGGTAAGTGTATAATAGCACATATGGATAGCATATCTCACATAATATGATCTTGGAGGACATTGATGATAATTGTTCATGTTGAGACTTTGATTGCGTACTTCAATCTTGAGCACAGTGTGAGACACTGTTGAGATCTCATCTGTTAGATTACCATTTTTTTTGTTCAGGAAAATATATAAGAAATTAAAAAATCTCCATTTGCTCTCTAGGAGAAACAATTGAGACCTCATTTGAATGTAGAGAACAAAAAAAAAAACTGATTTCCTTCCAATCATCCATGATTCCTCAACGCCCTTGACATGCAATGACCGTTACTTATAAATAGAAATAAATTCCAAAGGCCAAAAATAAACAAAGGAGATGCAAGACGAAGAGCGGCGCGGGTCAGTGAAGCAGGTGATGATGGAGAGAAAGGTGCCCCAGTTTCCGTCACACGAGCACTTGTATTTGACAGCTCTTTAATAGAAGCCTGGGAAGCCAATGGCTCTCGACGGCATCGGCCTCTCATCTCTCCAAACCCTCAGTCCACAGTGAAAGGCTATGAATGACATTAACCAAAGCTGTGCCTGCTCTTCCTCCACGTAATCTGAACGCCTCAGATGTTCAGGGGAGCGCTGAGTGCGGCATGATGTAAAAGTTTGTGTGTCTAACACGATGTGCTGAGGTGGAAGCGCTTCGTGTGTGTGAGCGGGACAGAGCTGGGGGGCTGTTATTGATTACACGTGTGCTGCGAGGAGACGCTGGGGCTCACTCCCGGGCTAACAGGCACAGGAAGGGAGTGAGAGAGCTACAGAGGGGCGCTGAGGTGATTTCTCATCCTGGCCTCCCAGCACACGCTCCGTACGCACTCGCTCTTAACAAGAACACACACACACGCTCTCCCAGGAGCCACCCTTAATAAGGATATGAGAGATGATCTTATTACTTTGTCTATCTTTTCTTCGCTATCTTGACGATGTTCGATGGTGGGGAGGTCGAGTAAAAACAAAGAGAAAGAAATCTTCCCATAGGAATGAAAAATCAATCGTTTCTAGACAGCAATGAGATGAGAGCAAATGGAGCAAATGTTTCAGAAGAAATCTCGACAATGTCTCAAACTGTGTGCACATTTGTCATAGAAGACTTTTTAAGGACAAAACAAAACAAAAGTATGTTTTCTTGTTCTCTTGATGAAGAGCAAATGGAGTGAAAGTTACAGAAGAGATCTTAATGATGTCTCTAACTGTGCTCAGACCTGCCAAGACACCAAAATATGCACTTGACAGGCATTTCTATAACATTTTAAACCATAGATCATAAAATCTTCATTATAGAGGTGTATTCAATGTCATGTCACCGATCCAAACAGTTTTAGGGATATCAAAAACCAAACCAAACCAAACCTAAACGAAACGAAGCGAAGCGAAGCATGACATGACATGACATGACATGACAAGACATGACAAGACAAGACAAGACAAGACAAGACAAGACAAGACAAGACAAGACAAGAAAAGAAAAGACAAGACAAGACAAGACAAGACAAGACAAGACATGACATGACATGACAAGAAAAAAATCCCATAAATTAACTGTTTCTTGACAACAACATAATTAAGTTTATTTCGCATCTAATTCGGCTTAAATTCAATTATTTTGATAGTGCAAAATGTATATATATATATCTATACTTTTTTGTATACATATATAGAGAGAGAGAAATATATATATATATATATATATATATATATATATATATATATATATATATATATATATATATTGTCAGTATAATGCATTAAATTAATCAGTTATGAAAAATAACACAATTAAAATATATTAACGCATTTAACGCACTGGCCCCGCCCCCAGACCTGTACATCATTTTACATTTAATACAGTTGACAAATATGATGCAGGGCAACAACTCCATAAATGCAGTTATGCCTTAAAATTTAAGATACTGGGGCAAAAATGCCCCAGTATGAGATTTTGTCTCATATTTATATTACATGATAAGCGATATCGCACCAGCAGCGAGAGCAATATAGTGTTGTTTATGTCCGA